GGCCCTCATCCATGCAACTCAATACTCCTCTCCTCCAGAAGAAGGTCGGTGATTTCCAAATCCAGAGCACTCTCAGAAATCGAGAACAGAGAATCGTTCCACTCTTCGGTATGGAACTCACGACAGGACGGGTTTGTGCCGTCTCCGGAGGTCAGAGGATGTCTCGCAACTATGGCCTATTTCGTCCATAGTGTTGCTTCCTTCAACCGTAAGAGTAAACCTTCTGTTTCCTTTTCACGTGCTCAATATCAGAAAAACTCATTCACTGTCGAAAGGTCCGAATACCTTTTGTCAGACACTTGTCTAGTTCTTGTGTTACTCATCCCCAAATAGGTTCATCTCTATGCAGAGCAGCAGTGCAATCATCGAAGATAGGTAGGTACATTACACAAGCCAGGGACACACCAAAGACACTCGCACATATCAAAATAGGTAGACAATACTTTCCGGCAGGCACCCGTGATGCTGACGGTACCCTTAAAAACACACAAATATATCCGGAATGTCAAAATGACGTCCCGAATTTGTACGCCCTCGATCGAGCCACAAAGGGTGAGGCCTCATTTCATAGTCATACCAGGGGGGAGCCACCGATACATCTTTCTTCTTCGACATACCATAGGCTCTGCTAAACCGACTGATAAAGCAAGACCCGAGCACAAGAATGTATTTCTAGCAGCACTCCTTTTCAACCAGATACCGGATGCTAAGCATCCCGGGCGTACAAACGATGGGATCCAATTTCCCGGGATGGAGGCACATACGACTCATTCAAATCAGTTCGGTTTGCAACAACTGATTTCAACAAGTGACAACTATCCTCCCCTTATGCGTATCGTATCGCGATCTTTCGTACGCTTGTGAACCTTGACAAGAACGTGCCATAAGCGATGAACGAGGCAACTCCACCCATATCTTACAAGTCTAATCCCAGAAATGCACCTCGGCTGTCTGTATCAGTAGCTGGCTCTCTTATGTCTCCTACCGATCTCTGCGCCACTATTCAGGGTCTCATCCAAAACTGAAGATCGATGGGGCTTCCGTAGGAATGGAAGACAAGGACAAGGACGGATAGCGAGTGGAAGAAGGGCCGGCCCAGCCAAGGTTCCCAAGGTAGGCCTGTCCTATCTTGCAGCATCGACCGAGCGCAGTGGCGGCGCACGCATTCGCATGAGTGTCCGCCGGTTCCCAGCTGGATGGTTCGGTATTCCCTTCCCCAGCGCCACCACCATTCCCTTCGGAGGGGCACTCCCTCGGCAAGGGGGGGCAGGGGCAGTGGGACACTCCCTCCAGTCCAGTCCGGCCGGATGGTCATGGTCATGAATGGGGGTCCTTTTGCTCGGGCCAGACCCTTAACAGTCGATGGCTTTTGTTATCGAAGTCGTCCACTTCACACTAGCGCAGTATAGTCTCAATTTCTTTTGTTTCTCTCTCTCGTACGGGCGTGTCGTGTCTATGCGCAAGCCACAGTTGCGGAGTTCAGACTCTTTCGGCTTAGTTGCTTTTGGAATGTTATGGGATTGGGGATGATTGGGAAGGCGTAGAATGGCCTGATAGGCTTCCGATGACTGGAACGGTCCTTCTCAACGTTCAAGGGTCCAACCTAACTGAACTGATCCGAAAAGAGTTACCTACCACAACGACACAGTCTTTTTTTTTTTCTGCGTTTCGATCGAGAGGTTTTCGCAGTGGATTGACCGATTGTGATATCCCCGGAGCAATTCCGAGGGGGAGCATGATAAGGGAAATCTCGAGGGCGGCGCTTGGCTAGCTCGGTCGATTGGGATTGATAAGGTAGATTATGTACAATACCGATGAGGTGCGAAGGGATTCCCAAATCTTAGCTAAAAATCCCAATGGTGTCAAAGCCTCGCCTCTAGTAGTTCAGTCTGGAACTGCACCATGCCGAACGGAGGTTTGGACTAGAACCTGCTGAGATATCGCTCTGATAAGGCTACCAGGAAACCCATAGAAGGTAGCCATTCGTACCTGCAAGTGGAAGTGCAACAATTGCGTGTGAGTGATCTGGACCTCTTTGGACCCTTGGCATCCCGGACAAGACTATGTATCATTTGGCGCCTTCCCAGATCACCACCAAAGTCTTGGGTACTTCCTTGATACAGGCACATCACTCAATCAGACCATATAATTGAAATCAAACTGGTAGTGTACGCTCTTTCCGCTTATTTCTTCCGCATTTGTTTGCCTTGCAGCTGCCGTCCCGCGGTGAAGAAAATGTGTGCAACTTGTATGGTTCGGTCCTGCCCAGCACCAACACGGGCCATCCTGGCTTTGTGAGGGCAGGAACTACACTAAGCAAGTGCTATCGTGAGAAGGATAGTGGAGTCGCTCTGTCTCTCATGCCTCGGTGTGGCGATGTTCTTGTCTCACGAGGAAGCTACGATTTGCAATCGCCGGACAAATGATTTCTCTTTGAGGAAGTAACGACTGAACATTGGCATGGGCAGAGCTCAAGGTACTTACCACCTTCCACAACTGTATGATAGGTGGGACAGGTTGAGCAAGGCGACCTGGCATGAAAAGTGTCATAAACTTTTAAGAACTCAACTCCTATCGCGAAAAGATAGGTATTGCGAATAATCTGCCAAAAAGAATGAAATGGACATCATCCGACAACGACCGGAACTAAACTCCGTCATCAGGCGTTCAAATTTCCTTGTATAACATTACCGTACGCCAAGTGTGTAAAACGTCCTGACAAATGCCGAGTCCAGGGGTTTGAATGGGGAAAGTACATCACCAAAGTTTGATCACTCCCATATGTATGTAAGATGTACCTACATATGAAATTACTTACTGTTCCAATGTTTGCTTGATATCCAAGTAATGCTCTAATGCTATGATTTGCCCGACCCGCCCCTCGCCGCCGTTTTTTACGATTTCACCACATCGCTTCCGGGGATCCAGGACGGGCTGCAGCCGAGATGAGAAGACTGCAGGCAGGCCAAAATTAAGTCCATCTCCGTTCAACGGGATACAGGAGGCTGTTTTCACGATATGTAGCTGGCAGGTGTAACTTCCGCCAGTTCCCACTTGACAGGAACATAGGCGTCGAGAACACCCAACGATAAGCGAGGAAAGTCGTACACTGGTCTACCGTCTGTTCATCTAAAACCCAAAATCCACTACGATACAGGTCCTCCTTCAGCTCTGGGCCGACGACAACAATGACATGAGCAATATAAACGACTGCAATTTAAGGTTGTCGTCTATAGAAAGCCAATCATCATCGTGATCATCAACAGGAAGATGCCGCTGACGAGATATGTGCCAAGAGTAAGACGTGTCTGGTTTGTCGCCGACGAAAAAGCCTCTCCCTAAACGCCTTGAAAGGCGCCAATCCCCGCTCGTGGATTTCCGCCTGGGAATTTACCCCTTTTATGTGCAGTTGAGGTAAGGCAAGCGGTTGTCACAAATCTGGCACGTGCTCTTATGTTGTTGTTATCGTCGGTCTGATCGTGAGTTTTGTTGGGTGAGCAGGGTCGATTCATGAGTGGGTGGCTGAGGGTCGAGGCGGACTAAACGAGATGAAGCGGCACGATGGCTGTTTCCAGGCCCTTTAATAATCAGACTTGGGCTTGTCTAATTTAATCATAGAAAAATGGGATCGAGGTAGGGTTGTTCCAAACGACGGCTTGTAGATGATGAGCGAATTGCCTATTCATAGAGAAACGCAAATGCAGATGGTAAGGGTAGACTCAAGTGAGACGCCTCGCCAGTAGAATCTCATCGTCTTCGACAAGAACCCGAGTCTCACAAAGAGGTGACCTAGGAATCAAAACGGATCATCAACATCGTCTGTCCACAAGAATACGCTAATGGGCATAATGTTGGGTCTGTTGGAGTTCCTCGGGATCTATAAATACAGTGAACATGAAACCCGGACAAGGAGAGGGAAGCTACACCTGATTCATCCGGCCCCTATCATCACAGGGCGTTTGCTGCTCATTGCTTGCATCAGTCTTCTAAGGACATCAACGCGGGGATTTCCGGGACCTTTAAGAGATTACATCCTCCTCAGGTCTGGCTACGGTTATCAGTCGTACCTAGGGTGGTGCCCGGTAGCGGATGACACTCGAACTGTCCAGCAAATAGAACAAAGAGATACCTAAGACTCTCATGACTTCCAAGCAAGGCAACAACTTAGGGAAAAGGTACACGATACGGTAAAATAATCGAGAGGATGGACAGTATGCGGATCACAGAAGAAATCACATCCTGGATAGCGTGAAACACAAAGAAACAGCAAACTCAAGATGCAACAAGGCCACGGGCATGGAGTGAAGATAATCCAAAACATTGACATGTATATCTGTAGGGCTAAGCAAGCTCAAATGTGCTCGCCATCAAGTGATATCGACCTCCGCGCATACCCTTCAACCTGCATTGACCCTAGACGTTTTAGACAAGCATTCAAGCCATGTGATAACTGGCTTGCTATACCCTTGCGCCGCCAAGCTCAAACAGTCTCGCCTGAACCCGGAAAGGCCCTAGGAATAGCCTCAGGGGGTCGGCGCGGTCCTCTGGTGAGGTAGGAAGAAACCCTCTGTCCACGTAGCCCAAACGCCATGAAGCGTGAGATGATATGAACCATGCCGTCGGCTGTCTTTGGAGTCCATGAAAGCAACCGTTGCTTGATTATCCAACGCCCTTATCGTTCTTGAAGGGTGGTATGAATGGTAATCGCTGTCGAATTGTTGTAGGCTGGCCCTTTCGCTTGTGAATATTCGGGATCGTTGCTGGTGGATCGAGAGTCGTGACGAAATTGTGAAAGGCGACGGAAGGTGAGAAGCAACCGGGGTCACTTCGGATGTCAGTCTAAGAACCCTGGTGCTTTATTCCCACAATGCTAATACAAGGCAAATACCCAAACGCCATTCGCCGTTCCAGATTTACAAAACCATCCTGCCAGTAGAACACCGAATTATGTGAAGGTTCCAGAACAGAGCAACGAAGATAGAACAGTACTAATTCGAAACTCAGTTATCGACGAACTCCTTCTGCTGGTAGACGCAAGAAACCATGGCGTGGTCACGCTCATAGGGCTCTGTAGGCAATTGTTAGTCATTGTTCGCTCCATCAGCCAAAAGGGATGCGGTTGAACGTACCAAGAGTCAACTGCTCCTTGGGGAAGAACTTGTCCTCACGGAGCTTCTGGACCTCGGAAGCGAAGACCTGCTCAGGGGGAGCAGTGGAGTCAATGCAAGAAGCCTTGATAGAGATGAGAAGACCACCACCCTGCTTCAAGAAGAGCTTGGCGTTGATGCCGACAATTCTGTGTTGTGTTAGTCTCAGGTTCACAGAAAACCAAGGGTACGTAGAGGCCCGCTTACCTGGCCTGATCGGGCTGGGCAACATCGGCGAAGATGACATCGACCATGGGGAGGAGCATGCGGTAAGCCATGGGCTTACGGGCATCCTCGACGATAGGGATGACGTTGGTGCGGCGGGTAGCCATGTTGATGAGATCACGGCCGGAACGGTGAGAGAACTCGACGGCGTAGACGGAACCGGTAGGGCCGACAATATCGGCAACGTGGGAAACGGAAGTACCGGAGGCAGCACCGAGGTAGAGGACCTTGGAGCCGGGCTTCATGTAGATGGTCTCAAGACCACCGAGGATACCGGCAGCAAGCTTCGAACGGAAAGGGTTCCAGATCTGCAAAGTCCAGCGTTAGTCTTTGCCCAAGGCCACAAGCGGGAAAGTCTGGAAAACGTACGCGGTACTCAGTCTTGGTGGAAGCACCACCCTCCTCCTTGGAGGCGTTCTCGACGGAGATTCTCTTCTCGCCGTAGACGGACTCGCCAGGGACAAGGTTGACGGTAGCGAGGAGATCCTCCTTACCGCCACGAGCGACGAAGACGCCCTTGTGACGATGAGGCTCGACAATGACCTTCTTGCCGGCAGCGCCACCCTTAGCACCACCGCGGGCACCGCCGCGACCACCACGGCCAGGGGGACTGTAATCGTAATGTTAGTCAATGTCCTTTGAAGTGATCACAGATTTGGATATGGTAAACGTACCCGCCACGACCACGGGGGGCACCACGACCACGAGGAGCACCACCACGGCCACCTGTTAAGCCAATGTCAGTAACGCGTTATCGTCGAGGCGACTGTTTGTTGCCATCGTATGTAGAGTCGGGTGCGAGATGAAGTTCGACTGAAGTCGTCATCCCAATGCGAGAGGTCCAAAGACATGCATAGCGACCACGGGACGCAGCAGACTCGAGACAACTCGCAGGATAACGAACAGAAGCAACGACAAAGACGCAGAGACCGTTCAAGCGATGGCATTGAGGCCAAACTCACCACCGAAGCCACCGCGGCCACCACGGTCACCACCGCCGAAGCCACCACGGCCACCACCGCGGCCACCACGATCACCACCGAATCCACCACGACCACCGCCACGGGCGCCGCCTCTGCCACCACGCTCGAAGCCCATTTTTATAGAATGTGTTGGTATTGAGAAGTCGGAGTCGGTATAAGTTGCGATTCTGGGCCGAAACGCGTTGTAATGTCTGTCGTGCGAGGCACAATGGGTTTAGAGTTGTCGCGCGGCGCTGTCTAGAGACTCGGAAAAGAGCTTTTGCTGGAGCTGGGTGCAAAATTTCCTGGACATGGATTGAAGAGAAAAAAAAGCGGGGCATAGAGTCTCATCGCTGGAGCACTTTTTTTTCCGGTCGAGGCCTGTTGCCTTTGCCATTGGCTGGGGGGA